TATATGCCTTTTTCTTCTTGTAATTCTTGGCTTCCTTTCTCTCTTCTAGTTTTTGCTTCATTTTGAACACTGTACAATTTGGCTTGATATGCCCAATCTTTCCACACTCATAACATATAAGAATATTTCCCTGTTCCTTGAATGGTTTGACGGAAGATTTGTTAGTAGATTTATTATTATATTTAAGAAACTTAGAAAATTTTTTTTACCAACAAATTCAAGTTTTCACTATCAGAGTCTTCATCCTCATTTTCCTGCATAAATTCAATCTTCTTTATAATAGCCTTTAATACAACAGTGTGTCTTCTTTCACTTTCTTCTTCTTCTTCTTTGAATCTTTTGAGGTTCCCTTAACTTTCCAAACAGTATGGTCATATTCATTATTGTAAGATCTCTGGATTTTGAAATAACAGTCACTTTAGGTTGTCAAGTTCTTTCTAAACTCTTTAGAATCTTGATGTTCAGTTCCTCTTTTTCGAAAACCTTTCCAAGAGCCATCAAATGATTCACTATTGTAAACTTTTTTTGGAGATCATATACATTCTCTCCAACTTTCATTCTGAACATTTCATATTCTTGAATAAGAGTATTCTTTTTTGCCCTCTTTACTTCTTCAGTTCCTTCATGAGAGAACACTCCACATTTTTTTAGTTGTCAACTGAGATTGTATAGAATTCATCAAAAATCCAATCATTCAAATCTTTGATTATTGTTTCACCATCTTTGACCTTAGTTTGTTGAAAAGGACTATTTACAACAACATCCCATACACCTTTATCAACATATTCAAGAAAAAATTTCATCCTTGTTTTCCAAAATGGAAAATTATCTCTTGTAAACAAAGGAGACCTGGATATAGAGGCCCCTTCAGCAACAGTTTGAGAAATATTAGTCATTCTTTTTGGATCAAAATTTATTATCATTCGATAACCCACTCTAATACCAATTGTTGAAAAGAATTAGAATGACTTAACACAACCCAAAAGGGGGGGTGAATTGGGTTTTAAAGAATTCTTTTCCAAAATCCCTTGGTCTTTTCAATTTAAAAACAAAAACTAATGAATCTTGAAATATAAAATGTGTTGCATCTGTTTTTTAAAACATCAAGATAAAGCAAGAAAATACAAGAACATTAAGATTTATACTAGTTTGATTCCGCATAATTTATATCCAGTTATCCAAGTAACCTTAGCTTGAATTTTTACTATAAACTTTCAAAGATTTAGATTACAAATATTCACCTATGAAAGACAAACTTTGTAACAAGATCTAACAAAAAAAACTCAAAATGTTATTATCACAATTTTCAAGCAATCTTGATGATGTTCTCCTCACAATCATTAATACCCAAACAAAAATTATGAAAGGAACAAAATCACCTGGATTTGAATTGTACATTACACGATTCCTATAACCAAAATGACTTAACATTTGAATATAATTCTCACAAATTTTCACAACTAATACAACTGTTCCAGTGACCACCTCAACTCTTTTTTTTTTTTGAATTTTGGTTGTATTTCAAAAAGTGTTCTGTATTGGCAAAATTTTTATTCAATTTAAAGATCTGAAATAGTTTCAACTGATTTAGATAATTGATTAAAAAAAATTTTATCGATTGTTTTGGTGCACTATAAAAATATAGTTATATAATCAATTATAAGCTTTTAGTCCTAAAATCCTAAAGTTAATCGATTATCATATATCTTTAGAGAAATTCAAATCGATTTAATCATTAGACTTTATTATTTCTAAACACACACTACCTACTCGACATCATAAAAAATACACCAAAGAAAACCTTAATCGAAATACCAAATCTTTATCAAAATACCATGATTAAGATTTTAATAAATTTTTTATATTTATATGCTTGAAATCATGTCAATAAACTTTTTTTACACACCTCCTTTGTTTTAAATAATGAAATCATTTTTATTTAAATTTTACTTTTTTATACATATGATATCTATATATTAATCATATAAAATTTAATATTATTAATGTCTCGTGACATTTTCTTTCTAAAATTACATTGGTGAGAATGTGAAAATAAATTAAATCATAAAAAATTATAATCTACATTAAATAAAATAATTTTTTTATTTTATCTATTTTATTTGTAATTTAGATGAATTTAAATTAAGTCATTTTAAACTTTGACTCATTTTATAAAATGACAAGTAATTTTTTTAAATAAAAATAATATTATTTTATTAATATATGTTTATTATAAATTTTAAAATCATTTTTAGTAAATAGTTATTACATATTTAAATTTATTTATTTGTTTGAAATATTATATTATTTTAATAAATTTAAAATATTAATTATATGAAACAATGTTAATAAAATAAATGTATTTAAAAATATATTCTTAAATATACATTTAGTTTTTATAATTTAAAATGTTTATATATTTTATTTTACAATAAAAAATTAATAATAATTCTTATAATTAAAAACAAAATCTTAGAAAAAAAGGTGATGATACGGATAAATATCACCTATCTTAACATGATAGATTGTAAAAAGTTGTCGTATTTTTATTTTAAGTCATAAAAGTAAAATTAAATTTTATTTTATAATTTTAATTTTATATTTAAATAATTTTTTTCTCTTATAAATTTATATATTTTGGTATTAATTCTCAGAATTTTTGTAGTCTTTGATAAATTTTTATTAATAGTAAGTTAGTATTTCTCTTTAATAAAATATTATGTATATATATCATATTTAATTATTATTATTAATATTTAATAGAAAACTCATCACTTAAAAGATTAAAAAATAATAATATTTATTTATGAGAAAAATAAATTATTTAGGATAAAAAAAAACTAAACCACATGTACTATGATTTAGTTACATAGTATCACTTAATAAATGTTAATAATAAACCTCAAGACATAAATAAAAGCTTCTGAGGACCAAAATAATTTTTTTTCAGACCATAATCACAATGTACGAGGAGAAAAATATATTTTAGTTTGTAATACATTTTTAATTTTAATTGTGATATTTGATTTTTAAATAATTGATATATTATTTTTTAACATTTTAATATTATTTACATAATTGATATTTATATTAAATAGTTTTTATCTTCTACAAAATTTGTTTTCATCAATAATATAAAAAATATTAAATAATACATGTTTTGTGAGTTATAATTTAATTATTATTAATTGCAATAATAATATTTTAAATTAATCAAAATAATGTTGATATTTTTAAAAATTATTATTTTTCATAAATTTATTAATGAAGTAAAAGTACTTTAGATTGAATAGGACTTAGCACATTTTTTACCTTTGGTTTCCAACAATTTTAGATTTTGACCTTTTGATTTTTAATAAGAAAATTTAAGTTTTGTCCTCGTACTTTCTTCTTCCTGTTATTTGTTGATATATTTTAAGTGTTTAGTTTAATGTTAACTGACTGGGTTAAGGATTAAATAAGACTAATACAAATTTTTCTTAATCAGTTTATTTAAAGAAAAAAAATACAACAAAAACCATATTAATTTTTTTTTATCTCCTATTTCTTTCAACTTTTCCTATTTAATAAAATATAACATTTATTTTCAAAATTGTTCATGATTTCAGTTATAATTAGTAAAAACTCAAACAAATAAGAGATATGCGCATTCTTTGCGTCATATTAACTATATTTTGCATAAAACAAAATAGTTTAAAAAATATAAGTGGCTATAATATTCTGTCATTAACATTGTAAGTTTAAATTTGTTAACTAAAAAAAATACGGAAGACGAGTAAAAAATAAAATTTAGGACCAAATGTAAAAATAATAAAAATAAAAAAATTGATAGTCCTGACGTAATAAGTTATAACTTAACACTCAGTTAACTAGGACAAAAGTAGTTTATTTTCTTTCCATTATTTTATAATGAAATTATAATTTTTATTTTGTAATAATATATTTTTTAACAATTTATATGTTATTTATTGATATATTTAATGATACTGACTTATTTTTATTTATTCAAGTATTTTTTATCTTGAAAAATATTTATTTTCATCATTAATACGTAGTATTTATTAAAAAATATATTTTTATCAATAATAATTTGATTAATGTTAATTACAATAATTATATTAAATTAATTTTAGTTAATTGAAATACTGTTTATATATTTCAAATGAAATTTAAATTTACGCAGTTAATATTATACAATTCAAATATTTAAAAATAATCTTTAAAAAAGTTATTGGAAGACATACTCCAAATTTTGATGAGAAATATTTCATTTTAACTCTACTTTTTATCTTAATTTGTAAAACAATACAAACAAAATTTGATTGAGAGCAAAAATTACTCCTGAAAATGATAAGTTAATAGGGAGTTATAAATTTTATAAATGTATAATTTTATAATATTGTCATATTTTTGTTATCATTAAAATGATTTTATGTTAATGAAATTAGTTTCACATTATATTTTTACTTCCCTCATATCTTTTATATGAAATGAGACAATTAATTTTAAACAAATTTATCTCTAATTTTTTTTAGGAAACATATTTTAATTGAAAGGAGATTTAAAAGTAAAAAGAGAATGAAGACTGTGAAATAGCTTATAATTTAGTTCTAAACCTCTTAATTTTGAAGTGGTACTAGCTTTTAAGAAAAAGGGTGAAACTTAACCTTAATGTTAATTTTTCAAATTTCAACAATAAACTAGCCGTTATTAAGTTGGGCAACGGCTAGGACACCGCGACATCGCCGTTTCAAATTTTCTGTTCATCATTCCTTCTTATTTTCAGTGTTGACTCTGTTGTCGCTCCCATTTTCAGATTTTACTTTCTTCTTGCTCGGATTCGTATAAGCTGAGAGTGGCGTAAGGGTCTTCGTACTTATCTTGATTTACTTTACTCTTCTTTTAACGGATCTTGGTTTTCTTCTTCTTCTTTCAAGTTTTCTGATTTATGTTATGGTTGGACTGCACATACATATCATACACACAGCTTAGCAAAGCAAATGGAGGGCTCAAAGGAAAATCGTGTGCCTCTGTTTCCGCTCATACCCTCTTCAAATCTTCAAGGTTGGTTGGTTGGTTGCTCTGTTATTCTTTTCATTTTAATAATAATTGGACATGACATGAGATGAGGACGAAGGTGAGATCGAGGTTTCATTGTTTTAAATATTTCTCCTTTCCTTGAATTTCAAAGGCCGTTCAAGAATGGAGGAGAGTCTGAAGCCCCTCCATCACCGGTTGCCTCTCCGCAACATCAATCAGAATCTTATGCCTAATAAAAGCCCTCATTCCCGGTGCAACTTTAAATTAATCTCTTTTTTTTTTTGTATGTTTAATAACAATTCAAAATATATTCAATTTTTTTATTTTCTTTGATGGATGATACAGCAAGAGTAAAGCACACACAGTTCAGCACCACTACCCTCAGCCTCAAGTACTCTTCTCTCTCCATGAACCAGATTTGACCATTTTATTTATTTATTTATTTATTTATTTTGTTTACTCTCTTATATTGAGTGGGGTTATTATCTATCTATCAGGCAACTAAGAAACAGAACCTGTTGTTGGCCCCCAACACGAGTTTCCACTTGGATTGTGAAATCATAGATATTCACGATGATGACGAGGATGCCGGTGACAACGCAGTTCCAGAATTCGTCAAGCATACTGAAGCCATGCTCGACGAAATAGATAGGATAGTAAGTGATTTAACATTTTCATCTCATCATCAGGGTTTTTTGGCACAATATCAAAATGTTGCCGGCTGTTTGTCAGGAGGAAGTTGAAATGCAAGATCTGCAAGAAACTGTTTTGGACATTGACGCCTACGATAGGAAAGATCCACTTGCAGTTGTTGAGTACGTAGATGATATCTACAGTCACTACAAGAATATTGAGGTAACATTTGAATTTGTTTAAGTGCAATGCCAATATTTAAACTCTCGGCCAGATGGTTCTTGTGATGAACCACCGTTCTTTAAACTACAAATTAAGTAGATTTTTTCTTGTTTTACTTGGGTCAGTAATAGGTCCTCCTCCCAAATAGTAATAAAAATAACTCCCTTCTAGATCAGAACATCAAACGGGACAGAGCTTTTCTGGGGGTTTGATTTTCCTATTTGCCTTTAAACTGATCCTTCATCAGATGGGAAAGAGTTTACATAGGGACCAACTTTTGGGATTTATGAATTACTTGATTGGGAAATCTGGTGGAAGGACTTGAGTGATGTTGACCCATCAGTTCTTTTGCAGAATTGGAGCTGTGTCTCTCCGAATTACTTCTCTAGTCACTTTGACATTAATGAGAGGATGAGGGCCATTCTTATCGACTGGCTTATTGAGGTACATTATTTACGTTTTTATGTTCATGTGAATATGGCAAGTCTGATTGAAATGAAATTCATTTTAAGTGTTGAAGTAGAGTTTCTCAAAACTTAGTCAAGCTTTACCGCATTTAACAGGTTCACTACAAATTTGAGCTTCTGGAGGAGACATTGTTCCTTACTGTCAATCTCATAGATAGGTTCTTGGAGCGTCAGGTATTGATCCGTAAGAAGCTTCAGTTAGTTGGTGTAACAGCTATGCTAATAGCTTGTAAGTACGAGGAGGTCTCGGTCCCTACCGTCGAGGATTTTATTCTGATAACAGACAAGGCATATACAAGAAATGAAGTTTTAGAGATGGTAAGTCAGGTTATGCATTATCATTCTTTTCTTTTCGCTTCCCTTTAATTTTGAGAAATGCATCTATAATCAATCATGTGCAATAGGAGAAACTGATGGTGAACACCTTGCAATTCAAGTTGTCTGTGCCTACTCCATACATGTTCATGAGAAGATTTCTTAAGGCGGCTTATTCTGATAAGAAGGTGAGTAATGCAGCACTGTTTTACAATGATTATAACACTAAAGTAACTTAACGAGTATGGGACCTGTGAAACTGTGCCAGCTGGAGTTCTTGTCCTTCTTCTTGGTTGAGCTTTGCTTAGTGGAATGCAAAATGCTGAAGTTTTCACCATCTTTGCTAGCTGCTGCAGCCATATACACAGCTCAATGTAGTATGTACCAGTTTAAGCAATGGACTAAGACCAGCGAGTGGTACACTGATTACTCAGAAGAGCAGCTTCTGTGAGTTGTTTTTGCAATGTCTTGTTTAATTGAAAACGTATATAGTGGTCAGTTTGTGTCAGTTGATTTTGCAATGTGTTGTCGAATTTCTCAAGTCATGGTAAATATTGTTTGTGTGTGCTGTCAGAGAATGCTCAAGGCTGATGGTTACTTTCCATCGGAAAGCTGGATCAGGGAAACTCACTGGTGTATGTAGAAAGTACAGTTCATGGAAGTATGGCTGTGCCGCAAAAATAGAACCAGCTCTGTTTTTACTGGATAATTAAACTGAACGCGCGTGAACTTCTGGTTAGCAAATTTTCATAGATCGCGTTGGTTGTTTGGAGAGATTTTAAAGTTTGTTTTGTGAGCTTCACAAGACCTAGCAACAGAAGTTGTGGCTATTACTCAGTGTGTCGTCCTTAAGCATAATATAGAAACAGCCCTATTAATCAAGGGAATGCAAGTAAACTTCTAGTTTCTAATACCGAAGTTCACAGACCTATCAACAGAAACTGAAGGTGGCTTCAGTAGTGTGTTTTTTCTTCAACTCAATAGTCTTCTAGGTATGTGGTTTAGTCAAAGTTCTTGAATGATAAAAACTGTTTATCCTATTCTTCAGTAATTGGCAATCATGGTACAAGGATAGATAAGATAAAATGAGTAGGTTAATTTCTTAAGGGGTCTGTTTGTGGTTAGGATGGAAAAATTGAGCACCATTAGTTATTACTGAAAGATACATGAAATGATAGAAATAATATATGTAATTCTTCAAAATGATCCTCAAGTCAGTTATGCACCAAGGGATGAAAATTAGTACATTGACGAGTAAATACTAAAGATTAGTACTACGAGTATTATTGAATTATAATGGTGTTTGTAATAAGAGTAATGATGCACAACATAATTTTGGACCGATCCATGAGAATAACCATACAATACTCCCAAACACAAAATAGAACAATTTATATATTGATTGTGAAAACCATGCAAACATTGATATAACGCAAGATAAGACAATTTGACTAATTTACTCTCTATATAAAATAAAATAGTAAGTATAAATAATATTTTAATATTAATTTCGTAAAACAAAATAATAATTAATATTTTTTCTTTCTTTAAATAATATTTAAATAAATAAAACATAATAAAAATTTCTTAATAAACTAATTTAAACAAAAAATAATAAAGTAATAATTCTCTACCTACTTTTGTAACAATTTTCTCCTTTTATTACAACATAGGAACCTATTAAGAATAAGGTATGAAATAGTAACAACAAATTTTCATTACCAAAACACACTAGTGATCTATCTCAACTTAAATGATTTTTTTTTAATTTTTTTTTTTAATTTTTTTTATGTTTGTGTGAGTTTTGAAACAGTAAACTGAGAAAGCAAGGATAATGAGAACAAGAAGAAAAGATAAAGGACAAGTTGGAGAGAAGAAATACAAGAAAGGGTTTTTATTTTTAATTTTACTAATTGAATTAGTGTGTTGTTGAGTAGTCTATATATATATATATATATATATATATATATATATATATATATATATATTTGAATTAAATAACAATGCATAATATATCAATTGAATTTTTCTTTTTCTTTACATAAGCAAAAGGGATAGGATGGTTTATAATTTACTCATTTTGTCAACACAAACAAGTTGTAAATGTGTAATTTTTTTTGCCAAGGGGTTTAACTGAGCTGTGAGTGAGCAGAGTGTTTAAATTGTTATTAACTTCCTTATATGTTCAATTCCTGTAGATAAAAAAAGAATGTGCAATTTTTTGTTAAAGTAATTCTTATCAAATTATATGGCACATGTAATGAACCTTAAGCAAGTTAGTTCTTGAGATTTGTGTTGTAGAAAATGATTTTTAACAAAGGCACATTACCTTAAGCAGTTTCTGGCATGCACAGAAAACTAACTTGATAAGAATTGAGACTATCAAATTTGCACAATTCGTATCAAATTTGCAGAGAAATAAGAGTATAAAATTTTATCTCCAACTCCACAAATAAAGAGGTTATTATAACTCAAGATGTTTTTTTTTTTTGGGTGGTCACTCGTTATGTTTCATAACTACTTATGTTTTATAAATAACAATAACATTAACAAAAGAAAGCAAAAGAAAAGCAGTATTTTGCAGACAGATGACAAATAGTATCCAAACCAAATGTTATGATCTTATACATCATCACAGATTAACTCGCTTTAAGATGACTTAATGGTAGTTGACAAAGTGAAGCATTTGTGAATCATCTCCCCAGGCCATCATATGTTTAGTCATATTCTGCAATTGGCAGCTGGACAGGTTGTAAAAGAGAAGAGAGAAAGGAAAGTTGAGTTAATATAGAAGCAAACTGCCAAATCAAATGCAAATCTAAATACAGCAGGAGCAGTTTTCAGTAATAAATGGAAGTGATTAAACTATTCGCCTCAGTGGGGTTGTTTATGCAATTTTTTCCAGTTCACGTTTGCATTGGAGCTAGTCCATGGCAATAAACAGAGTGCATCATGCCAGATTTAAGTAGAATTGAAGCAGAACAAAAGACTTTTTTATATTCCAAGAATGGATGTTCCTTCCCAATTAATTACATTTCAAATGGCAGGTCTGTTTTAACCAGAAAAACGAAATCACAAAATGCATCGGCTGTGATTGGAACCCTACTCCTAGAAACTTAGTGTCAGGCGCAGACCTGCCCACCACCGAGTCCAGTTGAATTATGGATGACAGAGTAATTCATATAAAACATAACAATTATTTAGATATTATCCACTTGCAAATTCTTTATAATATCATAAAGCATGCTCTTATGAATTGTATGAATATTTTAAAAAGTTAAAAAGTTAAAGACAATTGATTGTGTTTGCCATCGCAGCAAAATAAAATAAGGCATCAATCTATCTCTAAAATAATACTCTCTCCTGAAGTAAACAAATTATTCAAGTAAATCCCTCAAATACTGGAAATCATACCAAGGGTAGAATGGTCAATTTAGTCATTTAGAATGCACTGAAGTTTCAATTTAGTCCGAAAACTTAAATAAATCTAAATAAATTAAAATAAAGTCTTAAAAGTAATTTTTATTTCTTACAATTATTTTTCATTTAAAATAAATTTCTACATTTTATCATTAAAATACAATATAATCCCTCTATGCTATCATAGGATACAATTTAGTCCACATATAAAAGGACTAATTTATATTTTAATGATAATCTAGAGCAACTTATTTGAAATAAAAAAAAATGATGAAAATTACTTTCGGTGATTATTTATTTATTAGTATTTAAGGACTAATTAGAAAAAATATACAACTAAATAGTCTCCAAGTATAGGAAAATCTTTAAAATTACTCCTTGAAATTAGTAAAATATATAAACACAAGGACTAAATTGTGGACACTCCACACTTTGGAGGTTACTTGTATAATTTCAATCTAACATAGAAATTTTTTTTTGACACTCCACACACTTTAGAGGTTACTTGTATAATTATTGCTCTCTCTCTCTCTCTCCTAAAGTTCCCAAAATAAAGTAATCCCTCAATTAATAGAAATTATACTAAATATTCTAAGTTTTGAAAAATCTTTCAAATTAGTCCCTGAATATTAATAAAATATATAAGTACTAAATACTTTAAGGGACTACTTAGAATACAACTCCATTGAGATAAATATTTTCCAAACAGCTCAGTGTGTACTTACTACAATAGACAAATTGATTCAGATCGAGAGTAACCCTGCCTTGTTTCGCTGTATCGAAAGAATTAAACAGATTCCTGCAGAAAATGATGAAAGATCCTTATTTTAATATTGCCGTGGACAATAAAATAAAAATTCAATATGAGGTGGGAAAAGATGGTGCCTTTTAGAAACATGTGGCTTTCCTTTCCAGGATTTTGTATAGTGTGTGAACATACCGTGCGGATTGTAAGAATATACAAATGGATATGAAGTCGTCCAGCCGAAACCTTCCATTTTTACTTTGATCGAATGTCTATGGAGGATAAAAAAGAAATATTTTAGCATGGTCTTCCATATTATTGCGTTAATGCGTAACATGAGTTCCAGCTAAAATTTACTCTAGGTGGCAAAACAATGAAAAATAATCATAAGTCAAGCATACTGCATTAGAGGATTCTATATCTCTCCACTAATGTAGATTCAAGCCATCATTCCAAGAAAGGAACAAAAAGATATATGGATATAAAGATGTTTTACCTCACAGACAGAATAAAAAGCAGGAGAATCCAGCTTGAAACCGATTTTTAACAAAGCCTGGAATCATTCAGAATTCATCAAGATGAGTTGCAAGAGAGAATTATGAGGAATAAGCAGAGTTTTGTAGACTCTCATCACTGGAAAAAGGGAAATGCTAGGGATACTATCTGTAATACACACTTTCTTATTGATTGGAAATCATAAAACTGGTAGGTCTCAGATCTTATTTGTGACTCTCTTTTGATTTTGTAGTTTTCAATAACCAATAAAAGAGTGTGTTCCTTGCACTCAAGGAAAAAACAGATCATGCAAGGACAGCACTGTAAGAACATGCAACATTATACTGACAAAGGACCTTAATATTTGTTTCTACAGCGTGGAGTGTAGTTTAAGAACTATAAGCTCAATAGGGTGGAATAAAATAGTTACAGTAAGTACAAGGTATAACTTACAAATTGATGGAATAAATTTAAAATATACCTCAAATACATCATCTGGGACAAGAAAACCACGACCCCTGCATCAACGAGAGCCTAACAACTGTTACGACTCTTCCATGCCTCAAGGAAAGCATACAGATAAAAAAATTATGTAATTATTTAATTTCAACCTTTAATTTTTCAATCAAGGATCATAGCCCCTCACTTCAGAAAGCCATGCGACTACTGGTGTATTTTGTGTGATTCAATAATATTATCCACCAATCTACTTATTGGCATTGTATCACATAAAAAGGTATTTACTCTTAAAAAGCAATAGGCCACAATAATATCAAGATTCAAATCACTAACAGTCCCATGGTTTATGAACCTTCACATTATTAGTTTCTTTTCCAAAGGTCGGCATCACTTAATGAATCTACGTAGGTGTAACTATAAAGGAGAATAATTTATAAAAAGAGACATGAGACGAAATTTCATAAACATAACTGAGGTGCAAAAATTTTAAAAAATTCACCTCTCTAGATCCGAAAAAGCATGTTGGACCTGCAAAGCCATTTATTTAAGAAGGATAAGAATACATTCGGTAAATATCAAAGGAGAACTTGACCTTGTTGATTTTAATGTGATATACCTGTAAACAAGGGAGGACATGAATTGTGAGAATAAAAATGAAGATAATAATTGAAGGTCTAACAGACATGTGAAGTTATGTGGTGAGGAGCAGAATGTAGAGTAATTTAGTACAAGTAATGTAAGTAGTAACCTTTAGAAGGAAGTTGTTGAGAGCAACGAATTCTGAGAGAAAGATTTGGTATGAGGGGTTAGAGAGAGTAGAATGTCTGAATTAAAAGATAAAATAAAGGCATGAATTGAGAAAGAAGTAGGTACACAAAAATATCCAAATTTGGCGAGATAATGATAAGTGGATAATATAATAGTGAGAATGGCACATTTATGTACCTTGAAAGCTCATGGTACCATTTCTGTCGAAATCGTACATCCTATATGGCACGGCATAGAATGGATGAAAGCAGAAATAGGGTTAAAAGATAATGAGAGAAAATAATGATAATAAAAATGAATTAAAATAATGAAGAAGAAGAAGAAGAAGAAACTTGATCATTTGGTGAACCACTGAGAGGGGGAATTGCAGGTTGCCCACAGCTAGAGCTGCCTGAGAATGAGAATGATCAAAGATCGCATCGCCACAAAAAAAAAAGAAAAAGAAAAAAAAAAACACTTTTTTGCCTTCAGCTGCACCGCTGTTATGCTTCCACTTTTCTCCGAGTCAACGCGGTCAAACCATTCCTGTAATATTACCCTGTTCTCCATCTCCTTCTTGTTTCCCTCAGGCTCCTTCCTTGCTCGACCTAGCAAACAGGCCCTTCAATTCAACCAAATGAAAACGCCGTCGTTTATATTAATCAAATTACTAAATAAAACAATTTTATTTTTTAATTTTTTGAAAAAAAAAAAGATGGAGAAAAGAGACGTGTATCAGTAAATAAAACAATTATTTGTTATTTATTTATATTCATATTTTACAGAGGGGCGGAGAAAGAGGTAGTTGGGAGGATTGGGATGTGAAATGGGGAAAAGGGGTTTCCTTTGGTAAATTGAATTGCTTAGTTGCTTTGGTTGGCTATGCTGTGCTGTGCTTCCTCGCAACATTATTGTGAATTCAGGTTGTGAATTCCATATCGTTATTACTCTCTTCTCAATCAATCAATCAAATCAATTCAATCAATTTATCCTATCCATGTGTAATTGATATCCACTGATCCAATAAATCGGTTGAGCAGGTGATGTTTGAGTTGAATTGAGCTACATATACTTGCGTGTGTATGTGTGTGTGGTGTGGGAGTGATTGGTCAATGAACGACAGCAGTATTACCATCCAACTGGTTTCCTCGCCTCCCACATGGGCCACTGTAATCGCAGCTGCATTTCTCCTCCCCACCCTCGCCCTCTCCATGTATCTTTTGTTCGAGCATCTTTCCGCTTACAAGAATCCCGAGGAGCAGAAGTTCTTGATTGGTGTTATCCTTATGGTTCCCTGCTATTCTATTGAATCTGTAAGTCCACACTCTCCCTACACTCTCTTTAACGCATCATCATCATCATCATATTACATGCTACATCTCTACTCACTTTCCTCTTCCCTCCAACCCCATCAGTTTGTATCGTTGGTCAATCCATCAATCGGGGTCGATTGCGAAATTCTGAGGGACTGCTATGAATCCTTCGCCATGTATTGCTTTGGAAGATACCTTGTTGCCTGCCTTGGCGGCGAGGAAAGGACCATTCAATTTATGGAAAGACAGGCTCGTCTCCCTGTTAAAATTCCTCTTCTTCAACATTCTTCTGACAAGGGCACTGTCAACCATCCCTTTCCTCTCAACTACTTCTTTAAACCCTGGAAACTCGGTCGTCGCTTCTACCAGATTGTTAAATTTGGCATTGTTCAATATGTATTCTGTGCTTCTCTTCTCTATCTCCCCCACTCTATCATCATTTCTTTTTACTTCATACTAATAACTCCCTCTAAACCTTTCAGATGCTCATCAAGGCTTTCACTGCTATTCTCGCTGTAATCCTTGAAGCCTTCGGAGTCTACTGTGAAGGGGAATTTAAACTAGGATGTGGGTAAGAACTCCTAAATTGCCTGTTCAGTCATATCACAGAAATATGTTCCTTTTCTTTTCCCTCTTGCTAAAATAACTTCTTTTCATTATTATTTTTATTCTTTGTTATCCTTTTAAATGATTATTATTGTTCCGTGGTATATTTTAACATCTTTATCTACCCAACTATACATTTATCTTACGTAGAATTTTGTGAACTATGCTTTGCTGTCACCTTCTTCTGTATTGTTCATTCACTGCTACTTCTACGTTATATTTTATTGTCATCTTCCAAGTAGCATACATATGCATTTTGTATCTCTTTTGCCCTGGACTCCTAATCTTTGCTAACATAATAAGAATATTCTCCTTAACTATTCAGAACCCACTTTCTTCAATTTCTAAGGAGCTAATGACTGTTATTAAACTACTCCAATTTCACATGAATAGATAAACGAGAAGGGAAACACAATTTTTGAAAAAAAAAAACATGAAAATGTTATACTTGGAGGGAAACAAGAGTATCAATCAAGAAAAAGAAGGAAAAAAGAAGAAGAAAGAAAGTATCCAATCATGGGAAATAGATTATTAGATTATATTTCCATTTAGATACACTACATAAATTTGACCTTTGACACCTAAACGGCTTTTACTAAGGTGGTGTACCTGAGAATGCCAGCTTAAAATGTAGTTAATAACTTAGCGATTCAAAATTGATTTTTGTCTTTGAATATTTTAAACTAGAGAAACGATAAATCCTCTTTAAATATTATCTCAATAATCCCCCTTCATCTTAATGTTTTTAGGAGAAAATAGACGATAAAGGGAAGTTTTGAGACTCTCTAAAGTATTAAATGCACATATGCATTTTTTGTCTCTCTTTACTCCTTATGTAATTAGGAGGATTATTATGATTATGTATTCAAACTCCTTAGATAATATTGTGATAAAATTTCTTAATTTAGTCTTTAACAAAGCCAAATGGCAGCATGTGATCTATGTAAACTGACCTTACCTAGTCTGATAAGGTTTTGGTTGTTGTGATGATGTGTTTAGTGAATTTAGCTTTTCTCTTTGGACTATACGTTTTGTACTATATTCTAAGGATTATGTCTTCAAGTAATGATTACTGATGCTGTTTTGAGTTACTTGCATGCCGAGAGGTTACTTAATTATATGTTTATTTCTAGATTTGGTTGTAAATATTCATATTTGGTATCCTCATTTTAAAATTTGTTTTATTATGCAATTCTAGTGACGTGTAAAGGTATTCAAGTTGTATATATCTTTGAGCTATCTGCTACATTTGTAGGTATCCTTATATGGCAGTGGTCCTGAATTTTAGTCAGTCGTGGGCTTTGTACTGCCTTGTTCAATTTTATACTGTTACAAAGGACGAACTGGCTCATATAAAACCATTGGCCAAATTTTTGACATTTAAATCAATTGTGTTCCTCACTTGGTGGCAAGGTGTGGCAATTGCTCTCCTCTACACATTTGGTTTGTTCAAAAGTCCCATTGCACAAGGGTTGCAGTTCAAGTCAAGTGTCCAAGATTTCATCATTTGCATCGAGGTAGACTTCCTTTCCTTATGCTTGGCTTCCTTCCTTCTTCTTTTTTTTTTGGCAATTGCATTTGGAACTGTGCCAGCATCTTAATTGAATTTATTTTCTATCTATTATATCTTATAGCTGAGTGTTGTAAGCAAACATTTTGTGCAATCATTAGCCATGACTAACTCAGTTCCTGTTCCTCCATGGTCCAGAATGACTGGGAACATGGTCTGGGAAATGAAATCTCTCTTTTGATCATAGACTTGGTGGGAAGTGAATTGTGCAATTTGAGCATGGGAATTTTCGCTAGATGATTTATTTTAGTTTGTTGCAAGTTGATCTGTCTAAAAGATTATAGATTCAAGACACAATTATCTTTGCGTTGGATTATTAAACGGTGTGCTTAAATACAATATGATTGTTTTTCATGGAAGTAGGTGTTTTTTGTAAATCCAACTTGTAAACAGTGATGTAGTTTGGTTGATCATGAATTTTGATAATAACCAGCGACCCAATAGCATGGGATGATAATAGGCTACAATATGGTAGTTCATATTTTATAACTTTAGTTCTGTTACATTACATTTTGCATGTAAATTTGTCAACACTCAAGCTCTTAGGCTTCTACACACTGTTTCTTGAACTTGTACTTGAACCTTTTTGGACTCTTAAGTACATGTTCAGCACTTCTTATCTTCATGTTTTACATTTTTATGACTGCTTCAGATAAGGGGAAGAATAAAGTTTAACAGCACTTTGTATATATCAAGCACAGATGGGCATTGCTTCCGTAGTTCACCTGTATGTCTTTCCTGCAAAGCCTTATGAGCTAATGGGAGACTGCTTTCCTGGAAGCGTTTCAGTTCTGGGAGATTACTCGGCTGACTGTCCTCTGGACCCTGATGAGATTAGGGACAGTGAGAGACCCACAAAACTTCGTCTTCCTATACCAGATGATGATACCAAGAGTGGGATGACAATTAGAGAGAGTGTTCGGGATGTTGTTATTGGTGGTGGTGGATATGTAAGTTTCCTGAAGTTTGCTAATATTACAACATTGATTCTTTTTCTGTGGGCATGTGGTCTTAGTCAACACCGGGCAAAATCCCCATTCCTAGAAAGGGTGAGGAAATTATATTATTTCCTCATTCTGTGAAAAATCAATTCCTTTAAAGTATTTATGAACTTATCATAAAGGAACTAGTTGGTAGTTACTAAAAATGAAACAAGCTGTCTTCTTCACCATTATTCCAAGGGGAATTAGGTCAAACATTTCCCTTTAGCTGGCCAGGTTCTAGCACCATGAAGAAGAAATTAATTTTAATGTTTTCAAAATGTCAGTGCTGAACATTTTTTGCCAAGGGAAAAGAAAACAAAAAATGGGCTAAAATGTCCAACTGCTGTGCATGGTTTTATATTTATTTGAACCTGCCTGTACGGTCATTTCCTAATGTGTCTACCAATTCGCAGTTTCTGAATGGAGTCCACAATTCACAGTAGGCAGTAAATGTTGTGTGTTACTATATAGATACAGCTACCCTCTTAATTGAAAACTTGGTTGAGATTCACACCTAACATGTATAAATAAATAAAAAATTAGATAAACACTATAGAGGTAATAAGATCTTGGGATAAGATTAAGATGGAATCATTAAGTGAGCTGCATCTGTCAGAAATAATTTTTTAACCTCATTCTTTCGTATTAATTTATTTTCTAATCATACCAGCAAATATGACTTATTAGGAATCTTCAGGAAAACAATAGATTGAAAACATCCAAAGTTATCTTTATTGTCACAAGTGCCCTTTTTTTTATATTGTATCTGATTCATCCTTTCTTTTCAACATTCAGATTGTTAAGGATGTGAAGTTCACAGTCCATCAAGCTGTGGTGCCCGTGGAAAAGGGGATCACCAGATTCAATGAAAAACTACACAGAATCTCCGAAAATATTAAGAAAGACAAAGATGGAAGAAGAACCAAGGATGATAGTTGCATTGCCTCATCACCTGCAAGGAGAGTGATTCGGGGAATTGATGACCCCCTCTTGAATGGGAGTGTGAGCGATAGTGGGGTGTTAAGGGGGAAGAAGCACCGCAAGAAATCTGGACATACAAGTGGAGAGAGTGGAGGAGAGAGCAGTAGTGATCAAAGTTTTGGAGGCTATCAGATTAGAGGCCGTAGGTGGGTTACTAAAGAGTAACCAATGATTTAGGGAACAGCTTATGAGTGGGAGGAATAATTTGTTACATGCTCTGGCTGGCTTTGGAAACATGTTTGGCGCATGAGAGTTCTGGTTGAAATTTTTTTTGTATATCTTTTCTCCCCAGTCTAAATCATGATATTCTTGTGCCATTACTATGAAGGGTCTTCTGTATTTGTATAGAGGTTACTTCTGGCAGCTTCTAATGCTCTGTATCAGACAAGAAATTTCCAGCAGTTGCCAGAATAAGCCATTGTTTGTCGGGGACAATATTATTTGATACTGGCTGGGACTTTTAGTATTTATATTTGAATGATAATGTTAGTTTTATGCAATTCAGATATTAGAGGAATGCGCATATTTTACTGATGTAAGGAGAGTTGATGGAACATGTTGCCATTGTGTGTGGTTTATGCATAGAAGATGGAGGAAAGAAAATGGGAATGGAAAAGAAAAATGGTCTTGAATCATGATATTCTACACTATTATTTTCTTTTCTTCCTTACCCATTTTGTCACTGCATATACACACCTACATCTTCAAGAAAGTGTTCACTGGGTAATTATCAAATCTTTTCTACTGAACACTAATGATTACAATATAAAGAATTCTGCCCTTTGTGATCGCTATTTATGTGCCAGTTCATTAAAAGTTATTTTTCGACAGTGTTGTATCATAATACTCATTAACATCCTATTTATCTTGAAAGCTTCTTAAAACCTCCCAGAATGCTATTTCCGAAAAGCATTATAAAAAATCTCTAACAAAACAATCAAATATAAATAGGGCTGCCTCTTCGGAATCTTAGTTGTCCTTGCAATCCTCATATTCTAGCTTGTCTTTCAACTTCGCTCCTTAAAGTTTCATGTGATGGAAGCCGACCTAACCAATTCTGTATTACAACAACAAGAACAACACCCTTTACTAAGGTAAGATATATTTCATTTATACTATTTATCGGGGGAACTATGACTTGAGTTAAGACAAACAAAAGGAGATTGAATTTGTTTCAAAACTTTGGTGGAAACATGTTTCATGTGTTAGATTATATTTGTTTTAATTATGCTCAGAACGAAGTAATTTTGAAACACAAGTGGTTATAAGCAAACGTATAAATGGAGAGGGAAAAATTATAAACAAAATTTTATATTAGTTTATCTCTATTTATAACCCTATGTTAAACTCTTACAAACTACTAAGTTTTATTTACGTATTATATTGTTGCAATTCTTGTTTCATTAACAACTTCCCCATGCAAGTATTTTTAACAATTGCCTTTACCTACAAATTTTCAAAATATTCTTTTTCACAAAGTGTCTACAAAGTTCCACTAAAATCACACACACTAAAAAGGTAAAACTTATAAATCCAAATCATAGCTTACAAATGAATTATAAAATATCTAACTATAATAACATTTTAAATTATGAATACAAGATTCTTTACATAAAATTTATTTTATGTAGACCCCTTGGGGAGGGGCACAATGCTCAGTCCATGAGTAAATTTTATTGCAAATTTAACGTTTAAGATTATGTATTAAAGCATATGTTGCAAACTTATATTAATCCAGATTCTAAAATTGTATTATAGTCTATCTTAATTATTTTCTTGCAAACTTAACATTAAAGATGTAATGTATTGAAGATCCATATCGATGACCCTGGTAATATTAGTAGAATAACAGTGAGTCTCATACTCCATGAAATCATGTTAAATGTTTCAAATTTCAAATTTCTGAGTAAATAAAATCTCGTGGGTTTTCCTTTCAACTTTTTCCCTATCACAGATTGTGTTTGGAAAAATACAATGTTTCATATGGCTGTAAATTACATGTTGCCCCCTTAGTAGTAGCCGCCTAACCTCAATTTAGCATTCAATCAGCAAATGCTTTTCCACTCTGTTCTTCTTTTCTATTATTTCTAACATTAAAACGTTCCGATGATTAAAACTGGACTTGCACGCATTCCCAGTTAATCATAGCTCATCATGAACTACCGGTTGCTCAGTAGCCGTTTCTTCGCCTGCGCCTTCTGAATTGGATGGATGACTTGAAGAACTATCCGTATTCTGCTCCCTGCTCTCAGTTTCGTTCTTTATAGGCTTTTGAACCTTAGGCTTGGGCTTGGGCTTGGGAATTCTATTAATACTTACAACCTTGTTTTGTAGATCAAACACCTTTGAATAGACTTCTTCAGATGGAAATGCTGGCTGACTGAATACACAAGTCTTCTTCTGTTCCGCTTCTTTCTCATCCAACCAATTCTTTAATTTTTCAGAATTTCTAATAACCTCGTCTACTCGTTCTTCTGGAAGCCAAGACTTTTTTGCTCTCCACTCTTGAACGATCTGTTTCAGCTCATCAATGTATTTATTAGCATGCTCAACTGCTGCTGGTCGAGCTGTAAGCTCTTTGAACCTGAAGAAAATTGGATCTCCAACAGCTTTTAACTGATCTAGACGCTCTTGAAACACTGTGGCATTGACATCTTAACCGTCTGCATATAACCAATCTTGCACTTGATCATCAAGCTTCTCAATGAAGGACCGGTGTTCCTCACTTGTAGAAACCTTTTCAAATTCCTCAAGAGTTTCAATCTTTTCCATAGTAGTGTATGTATATCCTTCTAAATTATTTTTTAACTCGGCTGTTCTTTTTCTGTCTGTATCTTTTTGATCTAGTTCTTGTAATTTTCTTTTGGCTTCAGAAAGAAAATCTTGTGACACTGACATTCCAGGTCCAGTTATCTTCTCAACAATCTTTAATGGTACCATAAAGGTCCGCTTTTTCAGTCTCTAATCTGTAGCAGGCTCGGCGGCATCTTTCTCTGCTGCACTAATGTTAGATGACTTACTAATCCCACTATCAGTTTGCATGTTTTGGCTGTTTTCCTGGGAACTGTTACTAGCACCAGCTTCTGTGGAAACATTTGATGAAATGGTTGAGTTCTCTTTGGTCAAATTCTTCCTGGGAACTTCCACCCAGTCTGTTATTTCAATTACAGCATCTGCTCGGTGCAGAGAAAGAATTCCACTTCTAGTAAGAGAAAAATGAATGTTTGCCTTGATGGGTGATGACAGATTCCGAGATGAGTATTTCTCACCAGCATCTATCAAACCAGATATCTGGTATTGAGCAATTACGGGAGAGGTAACACCAGGAGGCAAATGGTGCTCGCTTTCATAAGCTAGTGAAACCTCAAAGTCTTTGTCATGATTAACTGATCTAAACATCTTACTCGGGACTTTCTTCATCCGTGGTACAAGTAACTGCCTAGGGTTTTCATCTTTCAAATGATCAGGACCATTAAACTCGACCACAAATCCATATAAGGAATCATCAACAATTCCTAGTTTGCGATTCAATTTGATTCCATCACTCAAATTTGCAGCATGCAGAGCTGCACCAAGAACAATTGCTTCATCAACATCAAGATGCCTATCAAGTTCTTTTCTCCCAAGGAATTCTTGAAGCTTAGCCTGTAATTTAGGCACTCTGGTGGCACCTCCAATCAACTCCACGGCATATATTCGTTCCAATGAAAGGCCGGAATGCTGAAGCACCTTTTTCACAGGTAAAAGAGATTTTTCCCAAATGTCTTGACAGAGCTCTTCAAATTTCTCGCGGGTTATGGTGCTCCTGAAGTCCACGTCATCATGGAGCGGTTCAACTGAAATAGGTGCAGCTGTGTTTGCACTAAGAATTTCTTTTGTTCGTTTGGCCGGTTTCCTCAATTTAGCCATAGCCCTGGGAAAATTCCTCACATCTATTCCACCACCAACTTGTGCATTGAACTCGTCAGCAAAATACTCTACCAATCGCAATTCCATAGCTGACCACCCAGCTCCGGGTTCCAACGGACATCCTTAACCTCAAACTGGTTCACGGGCACGCTCTTCCCATACTCATTAATCATGTCCGATGAGAAATACACAAGCGCCGTATAGGTACTGCTGGAACCCATGTCATAGAAAATCACGTGCCTCGACTCGTTCAAGAAGTTCTTGTCCATCCCATACTGCACCGCCGCACCGGAATGCTCGTTTATCAACGACAGAACGTTAATCTCCGCCAACTGTGCCGCCACCACCAGCCCCCTCCGCTCAGCCTGCCCTAAATACGGTGGCACTGTGATCACCGCGTCCTTTATCGGAATCTTCGCGTGAAACTCCTCCAATTCGCCGCGTAACCCAACACCACGGCCACCAGTTCCTCGGGCGAGTAAACGGCGCCGTTTCCGTCCGCGACCAAATTCATGCCGCATCTGGAGTCTTCCTTCGCCTCGAAAGGCAAATACATTGAGTCCAAAATCTTCTTCGCTGAACCGTAGGGTTTCGCCACGAGGTCGTGCCTTTGCGAATACACCTTCGGCGGACAGCGAGCAGCGAGGCCGGCGGCCTCCTCGGCGAGGAGGCGATGACCTCCGTGGAAAGACACCAGCGCCGGCGAATTCCGCTCTGAGATCTCATTGATGGCTATCGAGATCGGGCTCTGACCGGGCTTCAGATTCACAACCGCCACCTTTACCGATTCCGAGCCAAGATCTACGCTAAAAACTGCGGATTGCGACAGACAGAACGTTAGCGCAATGAATAACACTATGAGCACCACCTTCCACGTCATTTCCTGGACGACATGCGGCGTTTAGAGTGAGGCAAACAAACACTTCAATTACTCTGCGCAATTAAATTTTACTTTCTTATTTAAATTTTAAATTAAACTGTAATTCTAATGTTTTGTTTTATTTTTTCATTCGCCGTTATGATTTTCTATTTTTATGTCCATGTTATAAATAAATTCGTAGTTTAGTATAAATTTAATTTTGTGTACATTTAATTTTCTTTTTAATATTTCAACTAATTAAATTATTTTTAGTAATATTTTTTATGAATATTTTAAGTTTAAAATTTAATTGATATATATATATATATATATATGAAAATTTTATAATTATTTAGGTAAATTCTCTTCCCTTAAGTCTGGAACGAGGTGAAGATTTTAAATGATTTGAATGAATTTATGGAATTATTTGGATTGAGAAAAAATAATAAATTTAAATAGATTTGTGAATTTATTATAATTAATATGAGTGATTAATTAAATATAAGATAATTGAATAATAATATTTTTAGTATAATCATCGAATTATTTGGTTAAGATAGAATAGGTAAATTAAGTAAAAATTAAAAGTATAATTATTAAAAAAAGTATATTTATTTTTAAAAATTAGATAAGTAAAAATTAATTTAAGTGATTATTATATTGATTTTAAAATTATTTTTTAAAATTTATTGATAAATATAATATTTTAAATTCTCACTCTAATTTAAAAAAAATTATTTTTTATACTTTAAAATATATAATATTTATTTATGAATTTTTATTTTAATAAAATTAATAAAAAAAGTTAAATATAATTTTAATATTTTCTATATCTAAATGTAATATTAATATTTTTTATTAAAATCAATTAAATAATTAAACTTTTTTTGTACAAAATTATTTATTAAATTTTAAAATAAAAAGATAAAAAAATATACTAAAATGGTGGCATAATCAATTATACATTACCAATGGTGGATCTTGACCATTGATTTGGGAGGGTCAAATAATATACTATTAATAAATAATAAATAAATATAAAGGGGTAAAAGAAAATGGAAAGGGTGAGAAGATAAAATTGTAAATATAGTAAATATATTAAATTATCATTAAATCTTCGGGGAGGTTGATAGGATAAAAATGTAAATATATAAGTAAATATACTAAATGATCATTAAATTTGGGATCAAAATCATAAATTACATGGAAGTTACAAAACTTTAGGAGTCACAAGATTTATCTTGAGTTTAAAGTTGATAAATGAGGAGTATTTCTCATATTGTAAACAAGTGTTAAACCTTGACTCCTCTTAGTGTGAGGTGTGGCCCAAGATGGTGAGTGAAGCTCATGATGTCCCTGATAATCCTAATTTTACAAGAAAAGAAAGATAACAAGTTTGTACAATTTTTACAATATTTTTACATGGCTAATAAAATAGAAAAATAGTCTACAAGGTTAATAAAATAGAAAATAAGTTCTAGTAGTCTTATATCCAATTAAGGAGAGTCCTCTGATGGACTTCTTTCTCTTTTATTTTTTTAACCATGACCCAGTTAAGGTCCATTGGGTGTTGACTCTATGGTCTTCCATTAGAAGGGGATTCAAAACATTTAAATAATCCCATAAAGTTTTCAATATAGTATAAAATTTTGAGACAAAATTTTCACCCTGAAGATTTTCTCTTGAATTTCTATGATTATGAACATATTAGCATGGGAAAAACACTCACAAAGCTTCTTCCACAAGGCTAAAGTCTTCTCATGCCAAAGAATGGATTGTGCAATCTCAATGTTCATTGACTTTATTAGCCAACTAAGAAATACCTTGTTCCCAAAAGGAAAAAGTACATGATTCTTTGATGATTCTGCAATCATGTCATCAACGAATTCTCATTTGTTTTTTGTCAACAATCTTATCTTCATGACACAAGACCAACTGTGAAAATTCACATTTGTGAGTGGTGGTGAAACAAGGACAATGAAGCAACTCTCATTTGGGTGGATAAATAAGGGATTTGAGGCATCTTGTGCATCTTGTAGAGTAGAAGGGTATGTGGCTTCATTAGTCATTGATACGTACAATAAAGCTCTTTCTAAGAGAGTTCAGATGCCATAACAAATTGACAATTGATATTTAAATAGATAAAAGATCAATTGATAAACCACCTGACAAAAATCTCATTGGTTGTAAATGTATCTACAAAGTCAAGTACAAATAGGATGGGACAATAGAATGATACAAAGTAAGGTTTGTTGTGAAAGATTACACTTAAATAGAAGATATTCACTTCATGGATACTTTTTTTCTTGGTATCTAAGAGTTGTGTTGGGTTTGATATCCCTTAAAAATTGGTTTTTATGTTGGCAAAATTTGGGTCATGTATATATATGATACATAATTTAAATGTGTTAGGGTCATTATTTATTAAGCCAAATAATAAAGTGATCTGACTAAATTAAAGTTTTGGCTAAAGGCATATGTCATGAAAATAAAATTGTGTAGAGACCATAGAGTAATTTATAATTTGATGAGGGGTCAAATTGGAAATACTAAAACTTAAGTAATTAACCTAATTCTGGTTATCTAAAGGGTCATGGTCCCCTTCTGGGAGCACACACAGAACGTAAGCATCAGTCCCGTTCCTTTCTTTTTATCCCCATCAAGAGAGAAAATCAAGAGGGAAATACAGGTGCTCTTCAGGTGGAAGACCATAAGATCAATATAGTGCTCTACAAAGACATCATCATTATGACTAATTCAGGTACGCTTTCGCATTCGGTTACTGACATGTTTATCGGTATGGGATTACGTTTATGTTTGATCGTTAGAATCAAAATCGGGATTATTATTATTATTATTATTATTATTATTATTATTATTATTATTATTATTATTTTTCCAACAATTGGTATCAGAGCCGCCTATATTTGATTCATGTCTGTTTAATTTATAGAACCCTAATTATGAAAATTATGATTAATTTTGTTTTAAACAATTCAAATTACCAAATTTTATGAACCCTAAGTGGAGGATACTCTCTAATTTTTGTGAACCCTAAAATTTAAATTTAGGGGTAACATCCCCAATCTGATTCTGCTTGCTGATGGAACCGTGGAGGAAGTTATTGATTCTTCTTCTTCGTTTTTCCCTTTTGTTTAAGTTTAAGTTTCAAGTTTTACTGAGAAAGGAATAGTGTTTCAAATTTCAATTTTTTTTTGTATTGGGTTCTCTGTTCTTTTTTGAATCTTTTGTTTTTATTTAATTTTATGGGTTTGGAATTGGGAGTGGTGTTTGGGGAATTCCCAACATAGAGGATCTTAGGCAACTGGTGAATGTTTCCACATGTGTAGTTGTTATTATTTTATTGCCTCTATCCCCTAGGAATTTAAGGAAAATTTGATGTTAAATTAGGGTTTGAGTGATTACTGTTTAATTCCCTTTTAGGGTTTAGCGCATGCTAAAGAGACTCAGAACTATCTCTGTTTCATCCCTAGTGTGATTTTAAGGAGATGTTCATCCTTTATGTATTGGTGGAAAATGAGGCATTTTTTCATCCTTTGATTTATTAAAATGAGGTGTTCATCCCTAATGAGATTTTAGGGAGGTGTTCATCCTTAGTAGAATTCTAATGAGATGATTCTCTTTTGAATTAGTTTGCAAATATTAAATATTTGGTTTTGTTATATAAATAAAATATTCAATTTTTGGTAGTTTAATATTTTTTGTGAGCAAATTGAGTCAAGAAGTCACTAAAGTAACTTCTCTTGAATTGGGCAGTTCATGAAAAATATTGAATGTTAGTGTTTGTGTATATTCATGCGAGTATTAGTCGGCCCAAAGGAAGATTAATATTTGGCCGAATTGCATACACACTTGTAATGATAAACATGTGATAATTATAAGGATTTGCTTTGTCGATGATAAATCAATCCAAAGACTGGTTTGTTGTTGGACGTGCTTTATTGTCAATGTTTGATTATTACAACAAGATACCTCTAGTAGTTAATATTACTGTCCAAAGACTTGATATTGATGGTGCATTGAGTATCTTGAGATGAGTTAAACCACTATTTGAATATATATTATTTATTTTTTATATAATGTGAGAATAATTAGTTTATTTCTCGTGTTCTAAATTCAACTACAATTGCTTTTGTATCCGCCAATTTAAATTTCGTTCCGGTCCTCAATGGAACAAATTTTAAGGACTGGAAAGAGAACATTATTATTGTTCTTGGTTGCATGGATATGGATCTTGCGTTAAGGAGTGAGCAACCCCCTACTCCTACGGATTCAAGTACCTCTGAACAGAAAAGAGATTATGAGAAGTGAGATCGCTCAAATCGCATGAGTCTAATGATCATTAAGCATGGCATCCCGGAGGTGTTTAGGGGCACTGTTTCTGAAAACATTACAAGTGCCAAAGAATTCCTTGCTGAAATTGAGCAGCGCTTTGCAAAAAAGCGATAAGGCGGAGACAAACACTCTTCTTCAGAACTTGATCTCCATGAAATATCAAGGCAAAAGAAATATCAGGGAGTACATTATGAGCATGTCTAATATTGTTTTTAAACTCAAGACACTAAAACTTGAACTCTCAGAAGACTTGCTCATTCATTTGGTGTTGATTTCTCTTCCTGCAACGTTTAATCAATTTAAGGTATCTTACAACTGTCAGAAGGATAAATGGTCTCTTAATGAGCTCATTTCACATTGCGTACAAGAAGAGGAAAGACTAAAGCAAGACAAGACAGAAAGTGCTTATTTTGCAAGCACCTCCAAGGCTAAGGGTAAAAGAAAGAGATTAGAGGATCTCGAAAAAGAAGGTGCTAAGGGTCCAGAACAAAAGAAACAAACTCAAGAAAACAAATGTTTATTTTGCAATAAGACTGGACACGTAAAGAAGAAATGTGCTAAATATCATGCTTGGCGTGAAAAGAAAGGGTTGCCTAAACTACTAGAAGCCAATTGATTCTGAAAGATGGATTTATGTTGGAGATGACAAATCGGTAGAGGTGGAA